TTGGAGAAAAGCCGTATTGATATTGTGTACAAGAATAGCATTGAATATTGTGAAAAATAAAATAAAAGGGTGTTCTTGAGGTTCAGACTTGAAAGTTTGGCATAGGTTTAAACTTGGTATTTGTTATGTTAAACTCTTGTATTATGTTAAAGACAATCGAGGTTGTTGAATTTTTAGCTTAATTGTATATTGGTCACTAATATTTTATTACTATTAATTCATCAGCTGATCTAATGCATTTCAAGGAGTACTAAATCTAAATGATCATATGTTCAAATGGCAGAGGTTTACAATTATATTGTCCAATAAAGATTGAATGAATGTTAGACATTGATCAAAGTGACATTGACTCCACCGTTACATAAATTCATAATCATCTAGACTCTGGATGAATGACATTATTCAAATAGAAGAACTTCTATTCTACTTGGCTTTAATATATAATGAATTCCCTAATTCAAAACTCATCTCCAGTGGATTCCTCTACAATTCATATTTCATCTCTAATATAAAGTTAATAAGAGAAGCAAAAATAAGCAAGAGAGAGAAAAGAAAGTGATATTTAAAAATAAGCAAAAATTTTAAGTGATATTCAGTGGTACATCATCTTAAATAAAATTGTATCATATATTTAAAATTACATATCAATCGATATAATCTAATCATCACGGAAATAGATGACTCCATATTGGAAAATACTTCAGTTGATCTTAGAGAAGGGGAATTCAAACTGAACTTGTTTGAGGATACTGAAATTATAATTTAGAGAACGAGTTCTATATAATGCGTGGATAAAAAATGAATAATAAATTGGAAATAAAATATGACGAGATAAAAAGTAAATAATAAAACGTTATAAAAAGTGAATAGTACATTGGAAGAGAAAAAAGTGCCATATCTTTGGTAATTAGGGAGAATGTAAAACGGCACTTATTAAAAGGCTTCTTTGAAAGAGCAAGATCAATGGGAAAAGTTGCGGCATGGCTCCTCAGTCACAAATTATTAGAAACCCACATTGGCTGCTGATATTAAAACGGTCCACTTAATAAGGTGAGGGCAATCATTCCCTAACAAAAAGGTTTTGTTATGTTGAATTATGTTCAATGTCCTTTCTAATATGGTATCAGAGCACGCCCAATTTTGCAATGTTAGGTGCACCCA